GTAGTAACAAGTGCCTTACTAGTAGTAACAAGAAGCTACTATTAACAAGTGCATCGCTAGTAGTAACAAGTGCCTTACTAGCAGTAACTATATGTGAAGATGTGAACGCAGATACTTGGTGTTGAGGCCAAAACACTTCAGGTTGCCGTCCCAGAGAAGATGGACCTTTTCCGCTTGAGAGCTGCAAGGATCACTTCCAAAGCCTTGGAGCATTGGTTTTCTCGTTGATGTGGTTTTCAGATGACTCATATATGCGTGGATCGAGCGTGAACGCTTGACTCGTGCCGCTCGAAATATTTGTTGAAGCGTGATAGCAGGAGCAGTGCTACCTTGGTGTCACAACCATTGGAGGCCTTGAGCGAATGGACCTAGAAGCTCTGCAACAGCCACAGGATTCGTTGCAGTTGCGCAAGGCAAAGTCTTTTTTTATCAGGTCGCTCAGTCACCTAAGCCACAAGCACAAGAGTGACTTATTATTAACTGCTGCAGTGCTTGGCACTTGACCAGGCTTCCTGCCAAAGCCGGTCCTTGGCCGAAAAAAAGATGTGTCGGTCGTTCAAACGCTGAGCGTCGGTGGCAGGACCTTTCGGTAGCTTCGCTCAGCTGCGACTCTCCGGGGCGACGTCGCTCGCTTGCTTCTGGTGCTCCAGCCAAGGTCTTTTGGGACTGCAAGCTTGACCTCTTTTCGTGGCTTTCGAAGTGGTCTGAGGAACTTCTACAAGAGTCTTAGAAAGCGAACGTGTTGAAGATTGTAGATTTTCTTTCTGTGGATGCAGTCAGTCGTGGCCCATGTTCTTTTTTTCTTTTTTCCCCGGCTACCTTCAGATCCGGATTGACCAATTGGGCAGGAGAAGAAGCAGTGGTGCTGTGAACATTCTCCGGATGCCCACAGAATCTGCTCCAAGACCAAGGTGTGTTGAGCTTGTGGTCTAAACATAGATCGTTGCTTGCGTTGGATGGTGCTGGTGAGCTGTTGAATTGCTTCCATGCATTTTCAAGTGGCAGTCTCCGAGAGACAGTAGATAACACTCATGCCCAACCACGAATGACGGGCTGACATTTCATCCGTGGTCAGGTCAACAGCGATGCTCGCTATTGCGAAGCCACTACTGCAGGGGGCGTTCCATGCAATTTTCCATTCAGCTGGGGTGGAAGAAAGCCACTCGGATCTGAAGTCTTGTCCCTCTTCTGCTTTGATTGAAGGTACCAGCAATTCTCATGGCTCTTGAGATGTTTTACTGTTTGACCCCATCCATTTCCGTTTGATCCCATCAATTTTGAGGCACTATGGGCCTGGGGCCTCAGCTTCCGTTTTGAAACGCTTCACTGCTCGATTGCAGCAGACAAATTGCTCTACCTGCATGTAGGTGCGCAGTGAAGGGCAGTTGGATGGGAGGCAAGCCCAAATTGCTGTGAAGTGAAGTGTAGTTGTTCGTTAAAGATTTTTGATGTACCAGAATCGCTTTGGCCAGGTCGTCCCTGGTGCATGCGAGTAGATGGCAACTGGGCCATGTGCGACTGCAAGGCTGAGCTCACTGTTTTGGAGAACTGGGACATGTAGGACCTTTACAGCCGAACGAAGCCTTGAACGAACGAACCTTCTGTACCGCGGTACCTCGACAGGGATCCAAGATCAGCGACTTGGTCTCCAAAAGCGATTCGCTCAAGCCACATGCGCGGTGCCCAGCGATTTCTCACGTTGGAGTTGGTGGAGGACCTGTTCGAGTCCGAGTTGGTGCCCAAGGACGCTGGGCCTCCACCTGTTCCGGCCATTGACCTCGATGATTTGGGCCTTCATAGCGTGAAGCCTTGCTTCTTTGAGAAGAACAAGTGGTGCTCGGGGACCTAGACAGGTGAAGGGCAAACAACGAAGTGATGTACACAGGAAGGCAGAGGAAACAGGAAACACCAGATTCAGGCCCAGATGACTGGCTCACTGGAGGGAGTGGCGGCTATTTTTGCCACTTGGTTCAGATTCTTCAGCTCTTGTTGAGATCGGAACTGCCATTTCTATGCTGAGAAAGAAACACCAAACAACGAGAGGAACCTTGGCGGTTTCAGGATTCGTTGCCCCCGGCCCACTGTGGCTTTTTGCTGTAGGAGCAAGAAGCTACTAGGAACAAAGGGCATCGCTACGAACGGAGCTAGGACGCTACGAACGTAGCTCCTGGCATTACTACTAGCGCTGATGGGGCACGACGCCGTGGACCCCGATGGAGCCGGAGCTAAGGCCCTGAGCACAAAGGCTGTCGATCCGCCGACAAGGGACCCTTTCCCGCGGAAGACTGTGAGGACGGCCGCTAAGGTTTCTCCTTTGCCGCGGTTTCGGGTTGCTGGTTGCTCCGTACTTGGTTTGCCCGAGAGGAGCAGTGCTCCCTTGGCAATGTCTTCATCCCAGGCAACATACTACTCTGCTTTCATTCCCATTCGGAACGCTTTCGTGTGTCCTTGAAACCCAATGAGTGGGAGATGCAAGTCCTTTTCGAGGAAGCTTTTCCATGTGTATTCCCATCATTCTATGCCCTGCTTCCCAATGTTTGAAACATGATATGATTGTGGTCAGGCGGTGGGGACGTTGAAGCTCCTTGGCATGATCTGACGATGGTTTGTGATACCTTAACTTGCCTTCATGGTCCAGTTTTGTTTTCGTGCGGGGGGCCAAAGAATTGCTAAACATATGCACATTCCATCATTCAAATATGCACTGGATCTGATCACAGGTGCCCTTCAACTGTCTGCGACATTTGGCCTCCTGGAAGACTCACTGGAGCAAGAAGAAGAAGGAATGGTGCTGCAAAAATTCTCAAGAAGGTCATGCAGCCTGCGAAGACCAGGAGAGATGAGGATGCATGAAACCAAGCATTTTCACCTAACAAAGTGATACAGAGTGATCCAGGTGATCCATTTCTGCTTTCTATATTTCCAAGTCCTCTCTTTTCATCATAAGAAACGACACACCCAGACACTGGCTTCGTGAAAGAAGAGGTTCACGTGTTGCGACTGAAAGGAAAACACAGCAAAGGTAAGAGTGAGATGGAATGTCCGAGAATGTTGGTCACAGGATGACTCGTCGTTTGGCGCTCTTCAACGATGTCCTCGGGATCTTCATACTTCATGTCGCTCAGCACAGGTGAGTCAGTTGCGTCAGGTGCCTACACCATCCTTATATACAGTAGATCTGAGAAATCCTGCAAACGACCTTGTGCACCTTTCCCTAAAGGTTTTGCACAAATATGATACCGCAGTGCAATAATTCAAGCAGAGCTCAGCGTGCATGATGGAAACTCGTTGGCTGTCACTCTTGGTAATGAGTCTTCTTTTCGTGCACATATGGTCATGGAAACAGATTGCCAACAGCATTCATCACTATGGGCCCAAAGCCGATTTTTTGGGACATCGATGGAAGCCATTGAAAAGCTCCAAAAATGGTTAATTAGCCATTGCTATCTCAATTGCTGTTCAAGAAGCATTCACACTACAAAGTTACAAAAGTTTCTCTTCACAAAGCTTCCAAACGTTGTGCTTGAAAATCTAGATCTGCCTCATCCAATGGTGATCTCAGGCCCTGAGGAGTGGCAAGGTCTGAATGCCAACATCGGCGGCTTCTATTGTGCCCTGTCCGAAGAATGCCACCTTAGTGGAAGAAACGGTTCAAAGACACATGTCTAAAGACAGTGTTCCTTATTTCGAAAGTGCACAAGGCAGTCACTGCTGCACCTGACTTTTACAAAACTCAATATTATATTTTTTCTATCTTTGCACACCGCAGTTGGATAAAGAAGAGTGTATTGAGATAAGAGCTTGAGTATTAAAAATATAATCAAGGGCCTTGAGAAAGAACAGGTCTGATCGAGTAGAATTTGTGTTGCGAGTTGTGATTCCACCATGAGATATTTGGCTTTGCGAATTTGGAAGTTGTTAGGATTCCCGGATTCCCCTGTGAATCCCAATGTTTGAAGAGCAAATGAAGATTATATGTCAGGTCCAAAATGCGTATATCTAACATTTTCTTCACTCAGGTCGCTCAGGTCACAGTAGCGGTGGCTGCCGCCCAAGTATGCAAGGGCCCTTCCCACTCGAGAGCTGCCAGGAGTTGATTGACATTCTACAGTTCTTAAGCCAGTTTCAAGTTGCAGCAGTTTTGTGCTTGGCAGACAACTTGGATTTTGCTGCGCAGAAGCCTCGACAGGAGCAGTGCTACATGGGCCGAGCAACCCTCGGAGGCGGTAGAAGAAAATGTGGGTACTCGCGGTGCGAAATCCCACGCTGATTCAGTGCATTTGTCAGGCTTTCTTCCAAAGCCGGTCTGGAGCTTTGTCAGACCCGGTCACATGTGAACATGATGTTTTTCCATTTTCATCCGACCACTGGCTGAACGTGGGGCACTGGTTTCGCGACCCGCGGCGTCCAGGTTTTCTGGGACTGTGCACTGCACCTCGATTCGTGGCAGTCCAGATGGTCGGAGGAGCCTCAAGGTTTTTGCTTAAGGTTCCTTTGAAAGCGCTCAGGCTTGCAGAATGCTTCACCTTGGGGGTTGTTGGTTTTCGGGCACCTGAATATGCCAACCAGGGACCGCTTGTTCAGAATTCCTTTTGCAAGTCTGCATCTGACAAGAGATGGAATGGATTCTGTTATCCTTGCTCCAGGAGAAGCAGAGTTGGTGTTGTGCACACTATCGTGGTGCGCATGCCGTGTGTGCCAAAATCACCGTGGCTTGGTAGCAGGCAATTTTGAATATTCCGGTCTGTGGGGGGTAGAGGAACAAGAAGCTACTAGGGGCTCCTGGCCATACTACTAGGAGCAAGGACGCTACTAGGGGCTCCTGGCATCGCTACTAGGAGCATTCAAACTACTAGGAACAAGCTTACTACTAGGAACGTGCTCGACCTTTTTGTCGAACGCCAGGTGAGCCACCAGGTGCACTTCTGTGATGCCACAACTGCAGGAGGTGTTCCGTGCAACTTCCCTTTCCGCTATAGTGGAAAGAAGCGGCTTGGACTGCTGAGAATGACAGATGTACGAGTTATTGGCTTGAAAAGATTGTCAGGATTCCACAAGCGCAGTATACTACACAACAATTTGATGTAATGTTCTTCTATGCCAATGCATCAAGCAGTTGTAAAATTGCGCAGTCACTGCAGGCGCAAAGTTATGTTATGCAAGATATGCAATAAGAGCCAATTAGCATTACTAGTATCATGACAGACTGTGTGACGCTGTCAATTTGTGTGCAATCAAAACAACATAGTTGCAACTTGCAACATTTCCGGCTTTGCATTATTGCACCTTTGTTTTGAGGCACTATGGGTCTGAACCTCAAGTCGACCCTTGCCAAGCAAGTTTGCAAGAGACCTGAAGTTTGGTTTAGGTGCCTGGATAACAACTTCTTCTCAGGCAGCGATACCTGCCAAGGGACAGCAGTCTTTGTGAAAAATGCTGCATGCAGGCAAATCTGGCAGTTCGTGGTGTATGCGCGTGGATGGCCAGTGGAGCATGTGCGATTGTCAGCCTGAAGTTGCTGGGCCACAGAAACGCATGCAGACCGGCTTCGCATTCCAACAAGCTGGCCGGCTGCACTCCGGAAACTTGTGAACTCAGGACTTCGGCGTCCATCACACCGTTCACAAGGTCATTGAGGATATTGTGGTCAAACCCAACAAACTGTTTGCTGCTTGGAAGCGAGTGGATTTGGAGCCCTTCTGGAGCGGAATGGGTTATATAGTCAAAATGTAGCAATCCTTCAGCAGGACACCTGCTTTCCAAATATGCTAAATTGAAAAGCTTGTTCGCTGCAGCTTGAGGCTTGAGTTGTGTTGTTCTGTTCCTGTACAAACACTGAGGACAAGGGCGAATTTGCTCCTGGAATGTTTGCTGTAGATCCATGTCCATCAGACCTTGAGACGCAGTGCAATGACCCCAGGTTTCCTTCGTTTTAAAACGTCTTCCGGAGTCCTTGGCGGACTGGTGCGACTCGTGGGGAATAAGGGAATGACCCCTCCACTATAAGATACCTTAGAATCCATTCCCTCGTTCCTTACTAAGCATCAGTCAGTTGGGGTGCCATTGTGCCCAATTGGAACAGTGCCCTTCATGCCACTTGCAATCCTTCAGGTCCACAGGAATGGACGACCTCGGATTCGGGTGGTTTCTTTTGCCACTTGGTCTCCAGATGAATGCCAGTCGACGTGGCGTGTGTTTGTGGAACGAACGTCGCGAGTTTGGGGCTGCCATTCAGGCCATTCAGACAAGGGCTGCCGACCAGCGAATGAGGGGCCCTTCCCAGAAGAAAGCTGTCAGGCTCTTGTGAGTGACGGGTCTGGACACACGTCCGTGGTAGATCGAGACCACACCGTTTTTGTGCAAGCCAAAGTGAAACCCGATCGAAAGTGATACCATTTGTAAGAATGGAAGAATGGCATTGAGAGATAGTGATTTTGTGCCATTGATTCAGATTTCCATTTAGCCACCTGGACTCTGCTCCATGGTTGTTGAGTCTTGCCAGGTTTACTGTTTTTCCCGAAAGCATTGCGAAGGGTTCTTCCGGAAAATCCCTTGAACACTGACACTTCGACACTTACACTTACACACTGACACTTCCACCACATTCGCACTACATACACTGACACTTCGACACTGACACTTACACATACACACTGACACTCGGCAAGCACGCAGTGTAAGTAAGCAAGTGATGGGTACGCAAGCATGCAATGAGCATGCAAGCATGCAATGAGTAGGTACGCAAGCATGCAATGAGCATGCAAGCATGCAATGAGTAGGCCGAGTAGGCAAGTGTGAGTATGGAAAACTAGCACGGGAGATGTCCTAATGAAAAAACATTTCCCCACT